CTTCTTGGCCGCTTCTACATGTGGCGAGTACTGTTGTCCGCCGCGAGAGGACCGACGTCTCTTGGAAGTGGACTGCCTTCTCCTTCTGTCGGGTGCCGCAGAGGACGAGTTTTGCCTTGGAGGTAAGGTGCCTCGGTTTCGCTTGTTTGTCAGAAGCTGCGGAGGAAGACGATGAATCGCTGCAACGAAGGGCCACTGTGGAAGATGCATCTTCTTTTCTGGTGAGGAGGTTGGCCGGCGAGGCGATCGTCGCTTCGTCTACCAGCAGCCGACCCGTTCATGTTGTCGCTTTCGTCATGAAAGCTCTCATTTCCAGTATCGTCCGTAGATGTCCGTGTGTGGAGTAACTGCTATCCTGCAGAGCCTTCGCGTGCTTTCACTGCCTGTTCTTGAACGCCTCTAATATTTCGAATCCGACTGCAGCATAGGAAAGATGATCATTCCCTTGCGGTAAGCTTGATGGAGGTAATCTGGATCGCGTCGACACTGTAGAAAGCATAGATTGTCGAGATTCATCCTCATGGACTTCTTTGATTCATCCTTCAGGATTTCTTTGATTCGTCATGCATCCTTCCAGAAGCTCCTCCCTGTCCTCTCTCGCATCCTCGTTGTCGTCACAGACCGATGAAAAGGTGGACACGTTGATTCCACCCCACGACTCACGGTCTCCGCCCATGACATCTACAGGTTTGTCAAACGGCGGCTTTGCAGACAAGCCAGGAATGTAGTTTGTCGTCCTTTCCTCCTCGTCCTCGTCTTCATCTTCTTCGTCACACTCGGGAGTCGCAGATGGCGGACGAGAGTGAGTGGAAGCCCGTGACACACTTGCCAAGTTCGAAGACAGGTTCGCGTTCGCCCACGAATTGACCGAGTTTGTGTCGGGTAAGCTGTGTTGGCTCGTTCGGCTCAAGTTGGCTACGGCAGCTCTGCCATGATAGATTTCAGGAATGTTCGAATGCATCTGTGTACTGACGGAAGAATTCAAGAAGGACCGTGACAAGGGAGTGTTTTGACCAGAGTCAGAATGGCGTGAATCTTGCAGCCGTCGTTGGGGTTCCCCACGCCGCAGAGACGAAGAGTTGCTCTCCTCCAACTCGCTCTTGTGTCAACGTGATCTCCTTTGCCGAAGAGATCGAAGAGTTCTTATTAGTACTTCGTCTCTTTGGATCTTTTTCTCGGTCGCTTTGTTGCAATATTTGTGTTGGCTGGTTGTTGGTGAAAAGGTGTGCAGATCCATTCATGGAGACCTGGCCACTCCCTTGGAAGCTGCTGTTGACTCCCGGGGAATAGGCTGTTGTGGATGTGAATTGTGAGCTCAGTCGAGAGATTCGTCGACTTTCGCGAGTGGTGGAGAAACTCTGAATGGCTTGTCCGATTGCGGCTTTGACAGCTTCGGGTTCTGCTGCTTCCAAGTGGAAATGGGCGTTGTATATGAGATTGCCAAATATCAATAGCACCACTGCAAGATCGTTCCTGGTACCATTCAAGTGTTTCATCATGTTGTTAGTGAGCACTTTCGGAGCATTCTTGCAAGCGACTGTACAGTTGCACCAAGACATAAAGGGCACCACTTACATCCAGAGATCACAGACCGACAAAAAAAGATGTCGAGGATTGCTCCCAATGAGACGAGGATGGGCACTCCACAAGGAAAATGGCGACAAGAAATAGAAAGCAACAGGAGTTAGAATGACAATGAAATATTAAAAGGAAGCGCACAGGTGAACGTTGACTGACAACATACCTGAAGATTGGAAATCATGGCAATACTCAAATACTTGGATTCCGAAAACTTGGAAGGGATATTTCTGGCCACATAGCAGAGGTAGCACGCCGTCCCCACAAGCCAAGGCAAGTGCGGCAATGATCCTCACCAAAATCAACCCAATCTTCGCCTGTGCAATATCCTTTCCAACGGTGCCCCAAACTGGTCGGCACTAATGACAGTTCGTGTCCACTCGAGGGGTGACAGTAGGTCCATACAATGAGCACAAAGACTCACCAACAGCACCAGGCCAATGACCGCAATGGTTTCCTGAAAGGTGACGGATATTTTCCGAGCGGTTCCGGGGGTGGCCGCCGACTTGAAAATGCTATATATACATTTGGAATGGAATGGAAGTTTGTGAGAGAATATGACAAGGCAAGCAGCGGACGCCTCAGCACTCCTCCGTAGAGACAGACTACCCATAAACACGTCGAATCTTGGCAAACAGAGCTACCAAATGTAAACTGAATCAACCGAGTACCAACCAAGAAATCGCCATGCATGCCGGCACAGATCCCTGTCCACTCATTCTTGCGCCATTGGCCAAAATAGTGGCTACCGACACGGCGCTCCGACGAGCACCAATGCCAAAAAGAAGGGTTGACTGATGCGCACTTGCGTACTGTCCTTTTGCCAAAACAACCAAATGGCACACAGTACCATGACGGCAAGATTAATGCCCAGCATGGTGTAGGCAATCCATTTCAGTGTGGGTGGGATCATGTTGGTATTTTCGGGCACTTCCAGACTGCAATCGACACCGGTCCATTTGTTGGATTCGCAGACACAAACACCCCGGGCATTGGCACTCCCGTGATTGGGATCGCAGGGCAATTCGCAATTCTCTCCGGCTGTGCCGACTGGACAAAGTTCCTTTTGAAAATAGTAATGATAGAGTGCATCCAAGGTGGCATTGCTGACGGCGGCGTAACACTTTCTCACGTCATTCCTCATGCAAGCATGAAGATCAAATCGCATGGGCCATACCTGTTTATAATATAAAACAATATAATGGCAAAACATGATTGAACCAATCAAGCAAGCCATACGTTTGAACAACGGAGCACGTACCAAATATGTGTATTGAATGTTCTCGCGTGACTTCCAAATCGGTGGCGAGGATGCCATAGCGCAGCAAAGAGTTTCTATCTTGATTCGTCGCGTACAAACATCCAACGGTAGCAACTTAGGGCACCGTGCAGGATGGTGTTGGAGGAAATATTACTGACACCGCCTCTTAACTATTGACTCGTTTATTAATCATCTATTCCGGTTTGCATGCATATTCATGATGCAAGCGACGAACGACGAGATGGTGCAGTTTTTGAGTTGAGCTGCTACACAATCTTTAACAACGGGCGTGTACGGGCGAAGAGCGTTGTAGTACTGTCCTTGAACCTGCTATTCCGAATGTGTAACACACTTATTTTCACCCATATGAAACGGAGCGTCCTCAATGCAAATACGGTCCCGTCCGGAAACGCCAGACACGAGGAAATTGGACCCACTCCGAATCTGTGAATGCTGCTGTTTTCAAGCAGTGTCAATTAAGTCCTTGTTTTGCCCATGTTTGATCGACACACAGAACTAAAACCAAGAACTTGACGGTACTCATGCGTCAATAAGCTGCAGTTTTACCTCAACCAGACCTTACGGTGTAAAGTCGGTAGCCCAGAGCCATATCGTAGCTGACAAGTCGGGCGAGTTGGCAAGTCAATCAGTCGCCGACATGACATCGAACACATTGACGACAGCTCTTCCAGCAGGTGATCTTTTTCTATTGATATTGCGTTAGGCGGTAATTGCACCTATCGTGCCGATACCTGGTCAATTGCGAAAATTCGAGCTCGCGACGGTGTCTGCGGACATCAGGCGAGTGACTTTAATGAAGTTATGGACTTTCCGCAGTCTGTACATTGTCGTCTTGTTGAGCCAATAGACGTACAGCACTCGTTGAGCAAGTCCAGTCTAGGAATATCGGGGCTGAAAGCCACCATAAAGAGACTCGGCAGACTATCCCAATCCCCAGCGTTGTCTTCTGCACCCTCGCGTCAGAACGGTGGAGCGATGCACAGGAACTCCACGCTACCCAGCGAGTAAAAATAGTGCAGACGGAAGCAGCTAAAAGTTTTGTTGGGGTTGAACATGTTGTATGAATGAGAAGGGGACGAAGCAGGAGGGCAACAGCACAAGAACAGACATAGCAGGACATGTTGTAACCTCAAGGGAGATTGGCTGGATCTGCCGCTACCATGAAAGGACGCCATGGTCAGGTAGTTTGTTGCCTTCTTCTTAGTTGAGATAAGATATCTAGAGTATGAATCTCACCTTGTCTGACCCCGGTTAATAGTTACGACAGGAGTTTCGCGTGTGTGAAATGGTGCGAGCGCGGAACTGAGTGACTGATGCAATGCCCTCAACGATTCTCTCTGGTTAGGGTATCTATTCACACTTCTTTGAGGTGCGCTTGTACCTAAGTGTGCAGAGTTTGTGGTGGGTTGGGCGTGCTATTGATGTGTCTTGTCGATGTTCAGCCTGTTCTCTCTCGAGGTACATCTCACGTGACAGGCGATATTGCGGACAATCATATCCGTGAGTTTTATACAATCTTTTGTGTTCTGTTGGACACAATAGTTTCTACGTCAGTAGAGATTGGAGATAATCTCCACTGGCGGTCCTCAGAGCAGATTCAGCTATGTGTCCCAAGCAAAACACCTGTGTGGATTGGCTCGCATCATTTGGGAGCAAATATCTACTTAATGGAGGCACATCTTCTATCGTTTTAAGCGACACTAGGGATTATATTATGCTGTCTCGCGATTGAGAGATCATGCGAGCGTCCTGCGCGCGACACCCCATGGTACCCCTGTGAGTTCGGTATCTGCCACTCCTGGGAAATCAAACGCAACTTGATAATTGTGCTGTTTTTGGCCCGGCTCCTGTTCGAACTGGAGCTAGCTTGAGATGCATGACTGTGGGCTATCAGAGTGGAAATTGCTCCACTAAGTACAGGAGAGCATTGGTCCAAATGATTCGAGAATCCTCTCACATCAAATCTCTCCGTCTGTGAGGACAGTTGAGCGCGGCATCAGCGCGCGGCTGGATCCCGAGCCGCCTTGATCCATTCTGAACCAGTGCAAGAAGAGTATCAATTCGTCTGCTGTTACTTCTATCTGTGCTGGTATAAGTCGGTAACAGCAGCTCATCGATACATGGTCACAAAGAGAACAGCAGGTCTTGAGAGCGCATCCAGACTGGCAACCCGGATGGGATGGTGCGACTGTCCTTTACAACGCAGGAAGTGGATGTAGTAGACCACGGAGATTAGTCATCACGTGAAGGCTGCCAAATCGACCTCTCACACATTATATACTTAGAGGTTTCATTACAGCCGGAAAGAGCTAGAGCACAGGGTAGTAGCCTCGAGAATACGATGCCTGGTACATGCGCAGTATGCAGGACCTCCCCTTTCTAGGCACAGCACTTAGATAATGGGACCCGTAGCCAGGTGCCAGTGATATTTCAGGCTTTCCTTCGGATGAATGTCCTTCAGTCCGTGCGCAATGTCACAACTCCTCGGCGTGAACACTAAGCCGGGAAATTAACCGCTACCAAAAGTCAGAAATTCAGGTTCCCTCAATAGCCCCGGGAATCGCTACGGCGCGAAAACAATCGAATTTCGATGGATTAAGTAGAGCTATCCCCCACGGATCGATACATAGTCGCACGGTCGATTGAGGTATGAATCACAATGCGTGCATGTCGTCCTACTAAACAAAGACTCAGGGGCGGCGCTACCAACACATCAGAGACAAAGTGTATGGATGCCTGGCTACCGGTAACGGTACCAGTACCAGTACAAGTACAAGTCGATGTGAGAGACGGAGCCTGTACGGCAAGTGACGCCTGACCAAGCAACACCAAACCCTCGTTCCGTGTTTGGGTGGACGACGGCCATCTGCTGTAGGGCCTGTGCGCCTTGACACAGCGTGTGGGCAAACACAGTCGCGCTTGCACGTATGCGTCATGTAATCTGGCTAGCTTAGGATGGGTGGAGCGCAGAAGCCATCTGAACATCCATCTTCCCTGCTACTGACTGGGACGTATGTCTTCTCATGTCTCACTGGACCCTGGCTGCCCTGTTCATCCCTTTCTCATTGATAACGAGTGGGCACTCCTTTGAGTAGCTGCATCTGGTGGTGGTGATTCACATGTGGCCTAAGCTACTTCCCTCCTCCAAAAGAAGCAATTGAGAACGAAGCAATCGCATTTGAGGTGAGTAGCTGCTCATGTAAGTCAGCTTGTGAGAGCATCATTCCGCGCGAATCTACGTAGCCTTCGGCGAGCACGTCTCGACGGAGAAGTAATGATGTAGAATTCTCTGGTCACGAACCACCACAACAAGTGAAGCACCAGTGCGCTATGCGTCTCCCTGGCTGGGACTGCTGGTAAGCACAAGAGCGAAATCCCTTTGGAGCAGTCTAGCTGAGACCCCTTGCCTGCGAGGCTCTTTGCGCTCACATACGGAGATGTGGTGAGCACTTGGGATTAGAATTATTGAGACTTCCGTGTACCTGCCCTCTTACGCGCGCGTCGATTGGCCAACCAACATCTGGGTGCACCAGTGCGTCTGGCTTGGGCGGTGTGAACCGTGTCAAAGTAGAGACGCAAAACTCTTCGCCCGCAAAGACAGCGTCATTTCAATCACCCAGCAAAGGAATACATAGCCAGGCATCAAAAAAAGGCACAAAGCGTAGGAATCTGAGAACCAATAGGCCTATGCATCTAGTAGGCGATAATAGTGAGTGGCTGCTCACATTAGAGACACACGGGCTCCAACACCGAGTACACGTCTACCGATACTCTTCCTTGCCTAGCGTAAGCTGGGCCTCAGGAAGCTCTAGTCGTGTTGCTTACACAAGACCCCAGCACGCTTTGACCGCGTTCACGAACTTTATCATAATAAAGCATTAGGGCGTCCAGAAAGTGGACTGCTCCGCGCAATGCGGCGCGCCTTAAATATCAGTGATCCACCAAACGAGCATCAGTCACCTGATCAGTCACACGCAGAGAACACAGCGAACACACGCACTCATGGAGTTATACACCATCGGATTGAGCCCCACCGTTCGTCTCGCCTCACGGAACATATATCCTCAAGCATAGACCATGTGCGAAACTGCGACGTCACCTGCTGCGACACCAAGTTGTAGCTTTAGGTAGACAAGCTCTCAAACGTGTAGAAAGTGGGTCCTGAATCTATTGTAAGCAATGGAGAGTCTTTTGGTTGTGAGGTCACCGTCGCATCACTCTCATTCATTGAATGACCTGCTACTGAGCGATAATGCTGCAAGTGATTCCAATTCCCCATACATCGAGGTCATGTGGAGCCGCGATAGCATTCGTAGCCTCCTAGACCTCTAAGCTTGGACTTCATGGCGTCGGTACAGAATGTCACCTGGATGGTGGGTGCACCTGTCTTGAGAATGTTCTCATAGGTGCAAGTCGACTTGTCATAGATGAATGACTTTGCCTTGTACTCGCTCAATTCCAAAGCATCGTATTCTTGGGCTTTGGGATCAGCAATGGATACTTGGAGTGTTGGCTTGTCGGCTTGGTAGGTGCCTGACTTGTCATGGTCTTAATAGCCAATGAAGCCAGTGGCCAATCATTCCACTCAGGCTTGATCCTTAGGTCCTGGTCAATGTGTGTCAGGGTCTCCTCAAAAAGGAATTAATGCCTGGTGTCAGCCTGTCCATTTGGGTGGAAGAGGAACTGACGCTTGGAGCTCTTGTTCTGGTTCCTGTAGTTGTTGCCTCCTTCTCTTGGTGGCTTCTTCTGAGGAATGGAATCCCCTACCCCCCCTAGAAGGGTATCTTCCTCCACCACGACCACCTCTTCCTTGAAATCTGGCAGAATCCACAAGATTGTCGATAGAGAGCCGACAGATCCAGACAACTGTCAGAGCCAACAACAAGCGCGAAAGCCATAGTGCAAGCGCAGGGACCAAGGACGGGTACCAACCAAGGAAACAACAGCAAGGAAACGGGTTTGGAACGGCAGCATACCGCACGAAGTGTGAAGCAATAGCGCCCGACCTTGCAAGATCCTTAGCAATAGTTTTAAAACTCCCTAGCCAGGAGTATAATTTGAAGTTATCGCCCCATAGCCATAAGACGAATAAAGTAGTCGGACGAGAACTTAAAATAAAGAGCTAGCCAAATAAAAAAGAAAATTGAAATAGTCCACCTACCGTAGCATAGACAATGAGCGGTAGAGGTAAAGGACGAGGTGGCCGAGGAGGCGGCAAAGCACGAGGGCATGGAAGAACCAGCCCATCGTCGAACCACAGAAAGGTTCATGCAAAGCCCTCGACCAACATGTGTTTAACTTCGTACAACTGGATCGGAACGGCAGACCAGATGATACGCACATGGAGAAGATCGTCATCCAGTTGGACAAACGATGGGTGACGACATGAGCAATGAGCTACGCAACCTGAAAAGACAGTGTTGGTAGCACCGGTGTACTCAGAAGAGACCCGGAACAGGCTGCAATGGCGAAGGTACGACATGAAGCGAACAATAATCGTCTTCTATTGGCAACCCAAGCAAGCCTACGGCTACTAGAGTCAGAGATAACCGCAGTCACCAATGACCCGACTCTCGGTAGCTTACGAACACTAACGATAGAAAAAGCAACAACTCGTTAATGAAATAGCCGAACTTACGGCAGCCATAGCTGACCCACCGGAAGAGGAACTCCGTGGGCTCTGAGAAAGCAGAGTATGTAGGGCTGATGAAGACCCACCTTAAGAGGTTGGCAAAACTAAAGAAAATAGAGGCAAAGCTTTCAACTCTGATCCTAGGGCAGTGCACCGACTATTAAAGGAACAAGATGAAGCAGAACACGGACTTCGATGACGTCCTGTTAAGATGCGACCACCTGGAGCTACGAAAAATGATCCATAAGACGATCATGGCCCAGCCGGTGATAATTTTGTGTACCAAACATTATTCCAACTGGAAAAACACTGTTGAATTTCCACCAAGGGAGCCTTAACGCTTCGAATACCACGAGCAATTTACACACAAAAGGGACATTGCAAAATCCGTGGTATTTCCAAGTACACGATGCAGCCCTGCTTCATACGGCGAAACTACTCACCCCAACACAGCAATACTGCTGACCTTGGACCGATGACCAGAAGAAAGTCTCGGAATACGCTGAAGAACGTACTTAGTTACATCTTCTTAACAAATAGTTCAGCCGAAATACCAAGCTTAAACAGAACCTGAGGGACGACTTTGCCAAAGGCACTGATAACTATCCCCACACGTTACAGTGAGATATTACACCTTTTGGACACTTCTTGGCCGCTTCTACATGTGGCGAGTACTGTTGTCCGCCGCGAGAGGACCGACGTCTCTTGGAAGTGGACTGCCTTCTCCTTCTGTCGGGTGCCGCAGAGGACGAGTTTTGCCTTGGAGGTAAGGTGCCTCGGTTTCGCTGTTTGTCAGAAGCTGCGGAGGAAGACGATGACGATCGCTGCAACGAAGGGCCACTGTAGGAAGAATGCATCTTCTTTTCTGGTGAGGAGGTTGGCCGGCGAGGCGATCGTCGGCTTCGTCTACCAGCAGCCGACCCGTTCATGTTGTCGCTTTCGTCATGAAAGCTCTCATTTCCAGTATCGTCCGTAGATGTGCCGTGTGTGGAGTAACTGCTATCCTGCAGAGACCCTTCGCGTGCTTTCACTGCCTGTTCTTGAACGCCTCTAATATTTCGAATCCGAGCTGCAGCATAGGAAAGATGATCATTGTCCACTTGCGGTAAGCTTGATGGAGGTAATCTGGATCGCGTCGACACTGTAGAAAGCATAGATTGTCGAGATTCATCCTTCATGGACTTCTTTGATTCATCCTTCATGGATTTCTTTGATTCGTCATGCATCCTTCCAGAAGCTCCTCCCTGTTCCTCGTCTGCATCCTCGTTGTCGTCAGGACTCGATGAAAGGTTGGACACGTTGATTCCACCCCACGACTCACGGTCTCCGCCCATGACATCTACAGGTTTGTCAAACGGCGGCTTTGCAGACAAGCCAGGAATGTAGTTTGTCGTCCTTTCCTCCTCGTCCTCGTCTTCATCTTCTTCGTCACACTCGGGAGTCGCAGATGGCGGACGAGAGTGAGTGGAAGCCCGTGACACACTTGCCAAGTTCGAAGACAGGTTCGCGTTCGCCCACGAATTGACCGAGTTTGTGTCGGGTAAGCTGTGTTGGCTCGTTCGGCTCAAGTTGGCTACGGCAGCTCTGCCATGATAGATTTCAGGAATGTTCGAATGCATCTGTGTACTGACGGAAGAATTCAAGAAGGACCGTGACAAGGGAGTGTTTTGACCAGAGTCAGAATGGCGTGAATCTTGCAGCCGTCGTTGGGGTTCCCCACGCCGCAGAGACGAAGAGTTGCTCTCCTCCAACTCGCTCTTGGTCAACGTGATCTCCTTTGCCGAAGAGATCGAAGAGTTCTTATTAGTACTTCGTCTCTTTGGATCTTTTTCTCGGTCGCTTTGTTGCAATATTTGTGTTGGCTGGTTGTTGGTGAAAAGGTGTGCAGATCCATTCATGGAGACCTGGCCACTCCCTTGGAAGCTGCTGTTGACTCCCGGGGAATAGGCTGTTGTGGATGTGAATTGTGAGCTCAGTCGAGAGATTCGTCGACTTTCGCGAGTGGTGGAGAAACTCTGAATGGCTTGTCCGATTGCGGCTTTGACAGCTTCGGGTTCTGCTGCTTCCAAGTGGAAATGGGCGTTGTATATGAGATTGCCAAATATCAATAGCACCACTGCAAGATCGTTCCTGGTACCATTCAAGTGTTTCATCATGTTGTTAGTGAGCACTTTCGGAGCATTCTTGCAAGCTGACTGTACAGTTGCACCAAGACATAAAGGGCACCACTTACATCCAGATGATCACAGACCGGACAAAAAAAGATGTCTGAGGATTGCTCCCAATGATGACGAGGATGGGCACTCCCACAACGAAAATCTGGCCGAACAAGAAATAGACAGCAACAGGAGTTAGAATGACAATGAAATATTAAAAAGGAAGCGCACAGGTGAACGTTAGACTGACAACATACCTGAAGATTGGAAATCATGGCAATACTCAAATACTTGGATTCCGAAAACTTGGAAGGGATATTTCTGGCCACATAGCAGAGGTAGCACGCCGTCCCCATCAATGCCAAGTGCAGTGCGGCAATGATCCCACCAAAGATCAACCAATCTTCGCTGTGGCAATATCCTTCGCTTTCCAACGGTGCCCCAAACTGGTCGGCACTAATGACAGTTCGTGTCCACTCGAGGGGTGACAGTAGAGTCCATACAATGAGCACAAAGACATCGACCAACAGCACCAGGCCAATGACCGCAATGGTTTCCTGAAAGGTGACGGATATTTTCCGAGCGGTTCCGGGGGTGGCCGCCGACTTGAAAATGCTATATATACATTTGGAATGGAATGGAAGTTTGTGAGAGAATATGACAAGGCAAGCAAGCGGACGCCTCAGCACTCCTACGTAGAGACAGACGTACCCATAAACACGTCGAATCTTGGCAAACAGAGTACCAAATGTAATACTGAATCCGACCGAGTACAACCAAGGAATCGCCATGCATGCCGGCACAGATCCCTGTCCATCGTCTTCTTGCGCCATGGCCAGAATAGTGCTACTCGACACGGCGCATCCGACGAGCACCAATGCCAAAAAGAAGGGTTGACTGATGCGCACTTGCGTACTGTCCTTTTGCCAAAACAACCAAATGGCACACAGTACCATGACGGCAAGATTAATGCCCAGCATGGTGTAGGCAATCCATTTCAGTGTGGGTGGGATCATGTTGGTATTTTCGGGCACTTCCAGACTGCAATCGACACCGGTCCATTTGTTGGATTCGCAGACACAAACACCCCGGGCATTGGCACTCCCGTGATTGGGATCGCAGGGCAATTCGCAATTCTCTCCGGCTGTGCCGACTGGACAAAGTTCTTTTTGAAAATAGTGATGATAGAGGGCATCCAAGGTGGCATTGCTGACGGCGGCGTACATCCACTTTTTCATGTACAAGGCCACCATGGGATGGAGATCAAATCGCATGGGCCATACCTGTATTTTTAAAGTAAAATCAAAATGAATGAATGAATGAGGAATGAATGAATCAATCAAGCAAGCCATACGTTTCGAACAACGGAGCACGTACCAAATATTGTGTATTGAATGTTTCTCGCGTGACTTCCAAATCGGTGGCGAGCGATGCCCGATAGCGCAGCAAGAGTTCATCGTCGGCGTACAATACACACGCGTTGTCTTTGAGTGCCTGCAGACAATCTTCCGGCGACGGACACTTGTAGTACTGCGCTTGTGGAAACTTTTCCATGACGACTCCCATGAGATAGGTCCCGTCCGGGACGCAGACGGTTTGGCCATCGTTGGATGCCTGTGTCAGCGTGGTATAGTCTGTTTTGCCCTGTTTGTCGCCCAAGAACTTGACGGTACTCATGGTGGTCCGCAACCAACTCGGTGTAAAGTCGATCCGCAACGATCGAGCGGGGTTGCAGTAATAGTCGCCGACAATGAGATCGAACTTGCGACAGTCTTCCAGCGTGTTTTCATTGATATGCGTAGAATTGCAATCGCGGGCAATCAAATCGAGTGCGGCGCCGTACTGCGGAGGTGATCTTGAGAGTTGGAATTCGAGTGTGACATTGTCGTCTTGTTGGGCAAAGACGGACAGCCGTTGCAGCAGATCGGGCTGGAAGCCACCAAAACGGAGACTCCCATCCCAGAGTTCTTCCACCATGGCAAACGGTGGAGCATGCAGAACTCCCGCACGGAGTGTAATGTGCGACGGAAGCGTAAAGTTGTTGTTGGGTTGACCCATGTTGTGAATGTTGAGGGACGAAGCAGGAGGGCAACAGCACAAGAACAGACATAGCAGGACATGTTGTAACCTCAAGGGAGATTGGCTGGATCTGCCGCTACCATGAAAGGACGCCATGGTCAGGTAGTTTGTTGCTTGATTGATCAATCGATTGATTCTCTGTCTACCGGTATGTACATGTATGTTCTCGTGGTGAAATGAACTGTGAACTGATGCAATTGCCCTCAACGGACTGAGGGTCTTTCACACTTTTATCGCTGTATGTGTGTGTGTGTGTGTGTGTGTGTTTGTGTGTTTGTTGCAGCTGTTTTCGTCACTCGTTAAGGATAGGGATTAATCTTGTGTGTTCTGTTGGACACAGTAGTTTCTACGCATGGGTACCAGTACTGGCTGGCTATGCAGACTCGCTAGTGTGTCCAGATAAACACGGTGGAGGTTTTGCCAAAGACATAAGGGACATTTTCCTTGTTAAGGATAGGGATTTATATTATGTGTTCTGTTGGACACAGTACTCTGGACCCATGGGTACCGATACCACTGTGCCCGTACTGGCTGGCTAAAGAGACTTGCTATCAATAGTGTGTCCAGTTGAACATGGTAAATGATTTGACCAATCAAATCTCTTTTTGACAGTTGAGGGCATCAGCCTCCGGCTGCTTGTTCTTCTTGGACATGGGGATGATCGCGGTTCTTTCTTGGTAAGTTACAGGGTCACAAAGAGAACAGAGGAGACCCCAGACTGGCAATTGCTGTGTTTAGCAAGGGAAACCATGAATAATCCTTGATTCCTTCCTTCCATTACTAAGACAGGGAAAGAGAACCAGCCAGTGCCAATATCTGTGGATTGAGTAGCTTTTTGCCACAGTAAAGGACCCTCAGTCCTGTTCAGGAAGTACACGGAATCACGGAATTAACGAGTGAATCAGTCATTTCCCTCAAACTTTCGGTACGGGAAAAATTCATTTAAGTAGAGCTTCCAAGGTAAAGTGCACGGGTCGATTGAGATTTAATGGGATCGTCCTTAAACAAAGACTCCTCAAAGTGAAAAGTGAGGCCACCGGTAACGGTACAGTCGTACAGTACAGTCGTACGGCCGTACGGCCACACAAACACAACCCTCGTTCCGTGTTTGGGTGGAAGGGCATGCTTGCTTCCAACGGTTGGCACAAGCTCTTGCGCGTTCTCATTATTTTTACTTTTGGCGCGAAGTCAGGATTCGATTCTGTTGTTTCCTCCGTCTCCTTTCTTCTCATAAACATTCATTCATTCATCACTCCTCTCCAAAAGAAAGAAGAGAAGACCATGGAGTACTTTGATCATTACAGCCACCATACGGCTTCGGAAGCCAAGAAGGAGTATTTTCTTACGACAAAGGACTTGGCGCATGTTCCCTACAAGAGCGAATCCTTTGGTTTTGGAACGGGACGTCCCACTCGATGGTACAAGTTTGATGACTTGGAGGCAGTCGCATTGGCCAAACATGGTGCGGCGGGGTTGGCCAAGAAGCGAGCTGCCCGCAAGAAGCGTCAATTCAATCAACAGCAGAAGGAACTAGCCGCACAAAAGGCCAAGGAAGACTTGACGAAAAAGGTGGCATCTAGTAGTAGTAGTAGTGCTAATGATGAGAATGCTCCCAACAACAACAACGCCACGGAAGCTGCTGGAGTGGTGGTCTGTAGCGCCAAGGATCTCCAGAAACTTCAAAAAGATATCCAGAAAGCGTTCAAGCCAATGATCACATATGACCACATGCGCCGCAAGAACAAGCAAAACTATTGTGAAGCCAAGGTGGAGGTCCCTCGTGTCCCCACGGAACAATACGCAGCCTTGATTGGACGTCCTGCGGACACCAAGTTGACTAGTGTAGTCAAGAAAGGTGCCTGGTATCGTGAAGTCGTGTCCTATAAGACCGTGATGGGCCATTCCAATCCCATGACTGGTAGTGGCGGTAGGTATGGATGCAATAGCGAGTTGGGGATCGATTCCAAACCCGACTTGGTGGTACGCTTCAAGCCAAGTGACGAAACTCTTGCCGTGGAGGCTACGGTTCAGCATGTCGACACCTTTGGCTTTGATTGATTGATTGGATTCGATTCGATTCGATTCGATTCGATTCAACAGATTACAGCAGCAGAGGTATTCTAGCTAGACAGCAATCACGCCCCTTCAAACGCCCAATGGGAGCAAAAGAGACTCGACTCTAAAATTGACAAGACTTGGGACGAGAACGAGATCGATTGAATTGATATATAATATGAAAGACATCTAAACACTATACACTGTGGCGAACGTGTAGGATGTCGTCGTTTGTCATTCTTGCTAGTTCTGAAAGTACCGGTACGGCTACACTTGTAGTACCTGCCCCAGATAGCTGTAAACTCCAGTTCAAAGCCACGGCTTGCTACGGTAGAATCGAATCGCCTCAAGGTCCAGACTTCATTCACGACAACCATACATGTTGATCTTTTATAAATACTATTCTTTCTATGCAGAGTTGCCAGAATCACTTTAGGCATTGTTTGAACCTTTCAGATATTCGTTGTCTTGGTGCTGCTGAAGAAACTCTGCAAGGATCGGCGACTGTTCTTCTTGAGATTCATTTTCAGGATCATCCCCGCTTTTTGAGTTAGATTCAGATTCAGATTCAGCTTCAATAGCACTTGCACCTCCATCACCTTCATCACCACCACCACCAACGGTGTACCCTTGACCATCTTCATCAAGGGTGTACCCAAGGATCGCCGAAAAATTACCAAAACCCCTTTTATCGGACTCAATGACCTCGTCAATGAGCTCGTCAATGCTGTTGCTGTCGCCGTCTGGATCACTCTCAGTTGGTGCAGCGACGGGTGAAGCTTCGGATGGGTTTTCGTCCTCGGAATCACCCGATTCGGGGCTTGTACTCTCAGTTGGTGCAGCGACAGGTGGTGCGTCGGTTGGGTTTTCGTCCTCGGAAGAACTTGAGCCGCTATCCTCAGAATCAGAAGATGCCGAATCAAGCTTTCGGAAACTGGCAGTGTGAGTTGTGCTACTTTTGAGAACCATACCAACAGTGCCTCCACCTTCCTCCACATCAGCCAAGTTTGTTAGGCGAACCATGCCGATGGTACCGCCTCCTTCATCGACATCCGGCAGAGCCATATCAGTGCGAACCATGCCAATGGTACCACCTCCTTCTTCCACATCTGCCATACCACCATCGGTGCGAACCATTCCAATTGTTCCGCCTCCTTCATCGACATCCGGCAGAGCCATATCAGTGCGAACCATGCCAATGGTGCCACCTCCTTCTTCCACATCTGCCATACCCCCATCGGTGCGAGCCATTCCAATTGTTCCGCCTCCTTCTTCCACATCTACCAATTCTGTCCGTACCATGCCAATGGTACCACCTCCTTCTTCCACATCCGGCAACTTGGTGGACGCATCACGAACTCTGAGGTTTTCTCCAAGGACCAAAGATGCCACCAGGGCAAAGGCCAAGACTAGTTTGCAAACGGTGGTGCTCTGTGGGATCATGCTTGCTTATTATGCAGAAGAATGCGACTGCGGAACAGCCGATGAGATACTTAGGATGCGACTAACTCTTTCGTCCAAACAGCAAACCATCCAACAGCATTCCCTAGACTAGCTAGATATCTTCCCTCTTCACTATCTGGTCTGGATCCCCAAACGCAAAAAACCGATAGGTAACTTCAGATCGTGAAGGATCTGGTACCACACCTGGGCAACGCCCCGCCCCGCTCGCACAAAAGATACTCGCAATTTAGAAAAAAGATTATTACAGAAAGTGCTTGCGAGCTTGTGCTAGCTAGTCTAGCTAGCTACCGCGCTTGGAAAAGCGGACCTTTGAGGTATTGAGGTGGTTGACTATGGAGCCAACGATCCAGCATGTCAGAGGGAAGAGAGGGTAAGTAAGCAATGGTACAGTCAGCCGACCAATTTGAGGATCTAGGTAGCTGAGAGCACCCGCAGGTTTCCTTTCAAAACCTGGCAACCCATGGTATCATCATTAGTGGTTTTTTGGCTTAACTTACCTTCACACGGGAGTGTTTCGCCTTGACGAAATCGCAAGGTACGGCAGTGTCCAGCTAGATATGCACACAGCAGCTTGCTAGCTGGCTGGCTGGCTGGCTAGCTAGCTAGCTAGCTACAGTGTTTTACAGCGCAACTCTGAGTCGAGTCTTCAATTGGATGGTTGTTTCGTTTTGAGCGCTAGCACTCCCGCGGAGGTGAACGGAAAACCCAAACCCTTTTTCTAAAAGCCAACTAAACACTTGTGGCGATGGGTCCCGGCACGTGTCATTGGCTTTGCCTGCCAATGGTCGCCCACGGCATCCAACAACATTCTCACTATTGTTACCCCATGGGAAAGGCTTGACGATGATACTACTACGACCATGCTGTTGGATACCCCTGTTCCTTCTTTTACTCGGTGCTTTGTTGGCCGCATCTCCAGGTCTTGCCCATGAGCATTCGGTGGATCATTACTGTGGGACAGACGACCCAACCTTCAACGACATGTTGGAAAGCGATCGAGTGGTACAAGAGTGGTTGGCAGAACATCCCTGTGATTTTGGTGGTGCTACCACTAGTCGAAGTTTCGATCCACAACGGAATCCCCACTGTCATCCTGATGATACCGATGATTTTTATACGTCTCGGCAAACGGTTCCCTCCAAAATTCAAATTCAAGTCAAATGGCACAGCATTGCCACAGACGACGGGTCGGGTGCCGCCACCCTCCAACAAATCATGGACAGTGTCCTGGCACTCAACAGAGCCTTTGCCCATCCCACCACGGGAGGATTTGAATTTATATTCAGTATCTTTGCCGACTATACGTATCACGAAAATACCGAATGGCATTTTGCCCATCGCATGGATTTGCGCAATAAGCAGGCTCTGCGACAGGGAGATTGCACCACACTCAACATTTATTCTACCGGATCCTTTCGAGATGGACCCTTTGGATGGGGAACGAAACCATTTAAATGTGATGAAGATGATACAGGGTGTTATAATCTCTGTTTGGCCAACCTACAAGATGATGGAGTGGTAGTACGATGGGATCTCTTGGCGGGAGGACCCAATCCAGAATACAATGAAGGAGATGGTAAGTGCAGGAACAACACTAAATATGGGACATACAAAGTGATCGTGAACTAAAACTTGTGGATTGAAACCTTCCCACTTCAACCTCGCTATACCAACCAATCAACCTGACAGTGCTGGTACATGAGGTGAGAATGATAATTTGTTGGCTGGATACTACGACTTCTACCCTGACTTGCAAGATTTTCTCTCCTAACAATCCTCTGTTACGGCCAATTGATGTATCCTTTGTAGGTCGGACACTGGCAAGTTGAATATTGGCGTGCTTTGCAATCCCTTGTCGTGAAAACTTATGTGCTCATGATGTGTTGTGTTGTGTTGTGTTGTGTTGTTTGTTGCGACCGCCTCCTCCTTTTCATACAGGCTGGGTCTTTTCCATACGTTTCAAAACGGTTGCGAGTGAGTCTCTTCTCTTCTGTGTTGGGACATGATCAGCACTAAATCATCAACTTGTTTCTGACATCATCAAACGCCCCACAATCCTCCTTCTAGCGCTCCTGGCGATTACATTTTTGATACTCCCGCCGAAGCAGAACCTGCCTGGGGTTGTGACGAGCCCCGTGACTCCTGCACGGGCAAAGACGACAATCCTCCTGGACTGGATCCAATACACAACTATATGAACCTTTCCAACGATCAGTGCATGTTCGAGTTTACAGATGGACAATTCGCTTTCATGTACGCTCAATGGGATGCCTACCGAAAGGCTGCTGGTACAAGCATCCCCATTACGAATCCACCAACAGGGACACCACTGCCCACTCCACCACCAATCACTGTTCTGCCAACACCACAACCAATCACACTTCCACCCACGCCAGTACCAACGCTTCCACCAACGTTGCCTCCAACGACGCCTTTGCCAACTGCCACACAAACTCTTTCGCCCATTTTGGTCATTTCTACGCCGCGACCCACCATGCCACCGACAACGGCGAATCCAACGCTGCCCTCTCCACAACCCACCCAGACAACTGCCACCAGTCCTCCCACGAACGCCACCGGTACTACTACGACGAGTCCACCGTCTACCACGACGAATGCTACCACACCGCCACCTACGCCTCCTCCGACCCTTATCTGGACAATGCCACCAACACCCACCGACTCTTCCGGCACAGCACTACCAACGTCACAACCTCCTACTACCAATCCACCCTCGTTTTCCAAAACGTATCCACCGTGGTCTCCATCCCCCACGTTTTCCGTGACGGTAATCAGCCAAAGCAAAGAAGCCCCACCGGCCAAATGCGGCACCTTGGCAACCCAAAGTGGCTATGGTGGATCGGCGGCTCAAGCCAAAGATTGTTCCAACAGACGGCAGTTACGTTCGTCTGCTGGAAAGGAGAAGAGCAGCGGACGTAGGAGGTTAAAGGGTATGTGATGATGAAGGTTTGCATGGAAGCATTCCTGGCCAAGACTACGATACAGACAGCCAAGGCCAACAGTCGCCAAAGAGTTGGGTCGCATGTCATCGTGGCCATCATTCTCGAAAAAGGCCCACTTTCGATACGGCGGTGATGGCCATAGAGGGGGGAAATTCCTGGAAACCACTCTTAGGAAAGCCAGAGCAGGATCCTAAACCACAGGTCTCGAGCCAGACACTTGCAAATGGAAGTTTGGACAGTTCAATCCTCTCGCAACTCCAGCCAAAGCGCCTACTAGTATGTGGGCAGGCTAGTTGACTGGATGGTACTTCTACCTGGTTGAAAGCAAACTGTAATCATCCCGAACCACTGCTCCTTGATGTGTTCGGTTCGGTGGCAGTGCTATTTAAGATCGTTGCGTGGGTGCGAGGAAGAGAGCTTGCCAAGTCAGGTAGATGCGGTAAGCACAGTTTTCAACCAAATCTTCAAATAACCCTGTATAGCCTAGCTAGACGATTCGGCCTTCTAATCAGTTCTGGTGGAAGCGGTACAGCGGTACGCTTAGTCGTGGAGAAAAATGCCGTTAGATCTGAGTGGATTTCTTCAATGGCAGTAAGACTGCACGGCGCCAGCAAAATGCACAGCGGCTACCGGTAGACAACCGATCCACCCATTGTCATCACTTGAAGCCCTTCTCACTATCCACCCTCCTGGACAACGAAAGAGAGCAACAAATCTAACTCAACTCTGTGCTCTATAAATTTCTATTGCATCCACTATACTACGTTGTCTACTCGTTGCTTGAGCATGAACAGCACTCCCTCTGAAGCAGATAATAATGAGGATGCCTCGACCGAGGAGGCTCCTCGCAGAGTCAGCGACGGAAGCAGTGGAAACAGTGAAAGCGGTTTTTCAAAGCCCTCCTTCTCGTTCGAGTCGGACGAATTCAAGGCCACCATAGAGCTCATCCATCCAGAACTGAAAGAAGATTTGCTGCATGCCTTGGCAACCGTTCCCGAATTGGTCGCCACAGAGAGTCCCTTGGACCGCTATGTGGCAGCCTCCCGTGTGGGTCACAACACCAACATGCTCAATGCGTGTCAACGTCTGGCTGGATATTGGCAAATGCGCCGTCGCGTTTTTGCAGCGCATGCCTACAAGCCGCTCACCATGCTGCCAGGAGGGGCACTGTGTGGTGAACAAAACTTGGAAATGATTCAGACGGGAGCATTCGTGTTGCTGCCCAAAGATCAGAGTGGCAGAAGTGTCGTTAGTGGCAACACGTCCAAAATGGCACCCCAACATTCCTTTCCGCACTACCGATTCGCCAAAGCTCGCATGATGTTTTATCTGTTGCATCTGGCAGCACTCAATCCAGTCTCCCAGAGCAGTGGTGCCGTGTGGATTTCTGTGATTAACCAAAGTCCCACCATGGAAGCGTTTTTGTTTACCAAGCGTGTCGCAAGAGCCATGCCAGTGCGACGATGGTTTACGCGGATTGTCTTTCCTCCCCGTCGATTTGGTGCATTGGAAGCATCCTTGCCGACGTTCTTTCTGCAGGGGTTGGGAATTGGCACGTTGGTTCCCCGCAATGCCGTCGACATTGAATTCTTTGGAGGAAGTTCCAATGAAGAGATTCTGCAAAAACTGCAAGCGGCGGGATTTACCCGTCGTCGACTTCCCGTCTCGATTGGCGGAGACTGGGATGCCCATGACGCTTGGATCAAACGGCAAATGAAAGAAGATGAGGGAATCTTTTTGACGCACGAAGAGAAGGAGGAACGAAAGAAAAAGGCCATGGCAGAACAGTCTCGCAACAAACGAAAACGTCGAAAGGAATGGGAAGACGAATTACAACAGAAACACCAACAATTGCAAAAAGACAACACGGCACTGCAAGAAGAAAACGAACGATTGGAAGCCATGCTGGCGCATGCACAGGAAGAGGTGGCCTTTGTTACGACCATGGATCAGCTCACAACCACAATGGATGATGATGATGATGAACTCCCCATTCCGCTTACGGATGATGAATTCTATTCCCCTGATCAAGTACGGTTTGAAGAGGATGTTTTGGACAGGTTGCTTCAAGCTTAGTAGTTGAGCTTCTTCTTCTTCTGATCACTGCCGCTACACTATCCTGACTATAATTTGCATGCTACATAAATAATGTCACACGGGTGTGCTGCTGCGTATAGAGAATTGCCTCGTCGCTCCCATCTCCAACTGACCAGCACAACACAGCGAACATTGAAGCAAGTGAACCCTACCCTATAACACAACAGTGTCTTGGATGAATCGAATCAGATTCGAGAGTCGCTCTATCAACGGTTCGGTTCGATTCGATTCCTTTCCCCACCCAGGCTAGAAGCAGGTGCAAGAACAACAACAAGCGACAACAACCACAGTGCTTCTCTTTTCAGCCTCCGCCCATGACGGCTGTGCGACAGACCAATGCGACACCTAAAGCTTCTTGGAAACAATGTTTCGTTAAGTTTGCTAAAGCGAAGCTAAGCTAGTCTCTTCTTTCAACTTTACAGAATAGTTCTACCAATGCTACTCGTCTTGGTCGTTTCTACTAATGCTCCTCGTGCGTCTTGCGCTCTTCTCGTTCGTTCGTTCGTGGTTTCGTTTCGTTTCGTTTCGTTCGTTCAATCTTCTACTCGTCTTGGACCGGTTTGTCGTCCTCCTTGGACCTCGCGTTGGTCAATTCCTGCAACATCATCTTCATCAAATCGTTCTGTTCCTTGACTTGAGCGCGCAACTTTTCATTGTCATCTTGCTGGGATTTGACCAAGGCATAGATGGGTTCCAACTTGCCGTCCAAAGCTTGTTCGAGGATGGAAGTTCCATTCTTCGGCTGAAGAGTTGGGGCGGCGGCGGGTTCATCGCCCATCGTGCTGGCTCCTTCTGCGTTTCCATTCTCCTCGTCGTCAAAAGTCGGGGCGGCAGCAGGTGGCAGGGGTTCCTCGTCGGCCTCCAATCGGCGACCGTGGCCCAGTGCCTTGGCAAGCGCCCGGACATTCTTATCCATAGATTTCATGTTGGAGAACAATGGAATAGAGTTGACTGTGTCGTGTCGAGAATAATGGCACAGGGTTTGCAATGATCGCTCGTGAGGTGAACAACACAAATCCATGGGCCCCTTGTTCTCGTGTTGTTGTGCTTGTGTGCTTACCGTCCGAAAGGGTTCCAATGATGGACTCAATTTTGGCCAACCCGATTTCGATGACCTTTTCGTAGGCCGCTTCTGACAGCTCCAGGATCTGAATACGTACCGTTCGACAGAATGAAGCAAGATCAATGAGAAAATTTTCAGTCGAGTCGTCCACATCAACTTGCACAGCTGCTGCTAGTAGCCATGGCCAGCCTGTGTAATGACACGGCAACTTACCGCCAAAGGAACGTAGTACAGGAGAATGACAATGATGATGAGGATGTTCTTTGCAATGACACCTATGCAGTCGAGGAGGCAAGTACCGTAGCAGCCAAAGGATTGCCGTGAGCAGTGAAGAAACGAATAAACACATGATTCGATTTCAATACGCACATGCGGTCTTGACGCCACCAGTTATGTCTGTGGAGGAAGCAAAAGGGATTTCCGGGCAAGTCGAGCACGGCCAAGCAAAAGGAATGAATCGTCTGTTAGCACCGTCGTTGCATTCCCAACTTGTCACGGGAGCCCTCACTTGGGTTTCCAAAACGATGCCATCCATGATGTCTTCCGAGGAACCTACCTTCAGGGCACTCTGCATTACAAACTGACTCCATCGTACTCTCCAGGAAGGTCGCAATCTAACGTTGATTTCAGGTGGGAAGGAAGACGCATTGCGCGTGACGGAATGTCAGTATCGTCACAAAATGGAGGCTTCTGCGATGGCACAACATCGTTCTTACCTTTCTCATCATGTCATTTACATTTTTCCAGATCTACGTTATCAGCAACGAATGCAAGGCAGGTTAGTTAGGCGAAGTACTTTGGAAAGCAAACAGCGCTGAACGTGTGAAAACAATTCTTACAGCCCCAGCGGTTCTGAAGACCTCCAAGGCCTTTTCCACGACGGCTGCAAATGTCGGAAGGTAGGCGCAAATCGAGCACGGCAAGAGAAAGTCGTCAGAGGGACAACGCTCTGCTTCGCACAACACAACTTGCACGGTTGTTCTCCGAATGGAACCTACATTGTACAGGACTGTCTAGATCCTGCCAGAGAATACCGCTTGTGGGAGCTGGAGCAGGACCTTGACATACAGCAGGTGTTGGGGGTTTTGGAGGTGGCTGGAACTTTCTATCAAGGAACTCAAAGTTCTGGGTGTTGTGGAGCTGCTTGATGTTGTCGCAGATCCTGCGTATCGTTAGCGAGAGGCAGACAGGAGAGAGGTTGGCTAAGTCGGAAAAGTCTGACAGCTTCTGGCCGTGGCGCGCTAGGACTCACTCTTGGTCGTTGGTGAAAAGCGGGTCCTGTCAGGTTGGTTCGATTACAATTGACAGCATTTCGTGAGTCCAGCAGAACGAGCGGAAAGAGTGATGACAGTTTTCTTCCCTGTCAATTCGCCGAGGTATATAACTTACATAGCCAAAATACTGGCGCACCTTCCCACAAACTTTTGGGTCCCTGGAATTCGTGACATTCCCAGCTTCAAGAAAGGAGACATACGCTGTCTTGTCGTCCGCCCGCGCCCTAACTATTTCATTGTGAACACATGTCTTCAGTGTGGAGCAATCGGCTGGTGTTGGACACCACTGTTCGAAGGGATAGGCACATATGAGGTGGGCGACAAGGCAAGGTTGCAGAACTCTAGACAGATCGCTTTGGGGAAAAGCAACGCACATTTCCTCCCTGAGCAGAACAAGCCTCTTCACTAATGCCAGCGAAGAACGAAGCCTTTCGGGTACAAGGGGTGTTGCAATCATACTGGGAGACAATGTTAGAGAGTCGGTGTGAGCAAATGGTATCACTTATTGGTCATCAACAGCAAGCCCTGTAGTCATCGAACCTTGCGCCCCCAATCGTCACCACTGTTTTCATCAGGCAGGAAGCACGAGAGAGGCAGCACGGATGGGTAAGCCAGCTAAAAAGATCCAGTCCTCGACAGTAGCAGTATCAATTGAGCTCTTACGGGTGTTCATAGCCTGCATCAAGACAACAACGCCCTGGAATGAAGCAGGATTGCAGGTTCGTGAGATATTGATCAGTCGCCCAGCTTTCCCTGTCATAATGCGACCGTACCAGGAAACTTGCTGCCTCCTCCGCCATTGCTAACCGGTCTTACTACTGCTTCTTTGACCCCACAGAGATATCCCACAGAGCTATTGTTCGAATCCCAATGGCAAGAACACAATGAGGCGTAGTCAGCAACGTCGCTTGAAGCATGAGACACTCTGTCATGATATTTCATCGAACTCACGGTTTGTTCCCAAAAACAATTTTCATTCCATTTTCAATGCCACTGAAGACTTTGCGCAATTTTTTGACCCTAGTTTTGAACTCGTCAAAGTTTGTCCACGTGACGGCTGGAGAATTGAGATTGCGGTAAATTTGTGTCCAAATGTGGTTCAGGTCATTCATACGTGCTGAGTCATCCTTGTTGGCAAGCTCTTCAAGCTTCATATAAAGATCAGCATCGTTGTAGATGCCTGGTGGGAAGTCTGCTGATGAAAAAGTGGTTATGGGAGCAATTCCAGGGCTGAGCGGACGCCATGTGACTGCTTTGCCCGCAGGTGCTGGCCAGGTAGCTGTATCAGTCTTAATCCCTCCAGGCCTTTCCCAGATGTAGGCGTATGATTGGGCCATGAAAAAGATCATTCGGCGAATATACGGAGCGGAATACTCCAAGTTTCCATACAAGAAGGGGTCAACATTCCCAGTCTTCACCTGTCCACTGAGATCACGGACGGATGTATCGAGTTTCAGACCGGATGGGACAATCAAGTCAACATTGAAATCTCCTTGATAGTCCTGGACACTTTTTCCATCCACGGCAAAATTTGATGAACTAATGTCACAGCTGCCAGTACAGTGAACCATGATCTTTGTATACCCATCTACGACATTCAATGTATGAGTAGCAGTGGTGCCAGAGCCAGTTCCACTAGCAATCTCCTTGAAACGGGAGTGTTTGTCTTCATTTGATACCATGACCTTGTAGTTAGAGGGTGCTGCCCCAGTCCATGTGATGGAAACACTAGTAGGGATAAATGGTTCATCCCGATGGTAAATGTAGCTCACTGAATTTTTGTGAATGTAGTCATATGTAGGGTGATGGTCAAAGGTTGTGGCCGGCATTTCACTGGTTCAAGAAAAATTTGTGTGAGCAACAACCACAGGCAATCTCCAGCTTTTGGCCTGATGGCAACTTACCAACAGGCAGCACCGAGGCTGTATATATTGGCAGGTTGTGCCCCCCATGCTGGACAGGGAGCCGCAATACCACCCTCTGCTGCAGGCTTGTTAATGTGCTTCGCACACTTGGGCCACCTTGGAGTTTGGGCTGCCTGCACCCATAGCCCGTTAGCGGCTGCATTTGGACACAGATTGGCAACATTACCGGCATATGCAAGCCAACGATCAAGTTCGACCCCTCCTTTGGGTGAAAAAGGAAGGAGGGAATCCACGATAGTTTCATTGTAACCCCTGGGGCAAATTTCTTCATAATTACAGAGCCGTTTCCCTTTGCCTGCACAATAAGTCTTGATGCTTCCATAATCTCCAGATTTCTTATAACTTTGTGTAAAAACGATCCTGGCCACGGGGGCACTTTGTAAAACAGTGCTCGATGAACTATTGGAAAAGCAACATGTGTCAGTGTGATGTAGTATGGAAGATTAATGATGTGATACCCTCAGGACGCTTACCAGCAAGGAGTACCAAGTGTCCTCCCGGCCACAGCGCCATTGCCCCAGGCGGGGCAGTCGTGATTGATCCCCTGCGTCGTGTGCCTCGTGTGCTTTCTACAAACTCCAAAGTTGCCTTGTGTTCCAACTTGAACCCATAATCCACGCTTTTCGCTGCCCTGATCGCATTCTGCGACATCCCCACCAAATGGGATCCACTGATCAGCCGCGCTAGTTTTCTGTGAAACAAAGCTAGCGGTTGCCTGGTCTTGGCCATTGGGGCAGATCTCTTGGTAGTTACAGAGTCGTTTGCCCTGATTGTAACAGAATTGCTCACTCTGGTTGTAAACCAACATTTGATTTGTGTCAAGCTTTGGAGGTTTCACAGTGCCAAAGACAAATGGCTCACTTGTACTTCGTGCATCACTGTTGTATAGGTCCTTGGAGCAATCAAACAATTCTTTCGCTGCCTTGATTGCCGCCCAAGATCCCACCTTTGAAGCAACGTCCTGGAGTTGCGCATATCTTTGAGTTCCTTCAGCCTGGCAGACTTCACTTACAGTGGCTCCTTCCCAATGAGGAACGCCTGCAACATGTTGAGAACATGCTGGCCACGTGAGACGAGAGGAGAAAAGGAAACACCACAACTTGCAATCTTGCGCGTGCCAGCTATAGGCTCACCTTGCTTCTCTTCATTCCTATGAAACAACTTTAGAAGGTCGTTACATGCTGTACCGTCATTAGCATATGCTGCTTCATTGGCTCCATTGGCTGCCAAGTGAGTTGAAATTCTCTTGATCTCGTCGTACATGAACTGGAGGTTCCATTCATTGAATAGAATAACATCAGCATCAATCTCTCCAGATTGCTTGTCAACTAAGAAAAGGTACAAACCAGTAAGTTAGCAAGTCAAGTAGTACACAGGGTGATAGCAAACGGCCAAGCTTATAATTGCAAAGCAAAACCTACTGTCATCAAAGTAGTAGTAGACCTACAGAATCCAAAAATCAGGGATTACAGAACAATGAAAGGTATGAGATCAACAGAATTGCAGTGGGCACAAGGCGTATGCAAAAAGGGCGATAAACATACCATAACATCATAAACACTCATGCTTTGGGCACATTTTGTCAACTGCATGCATTGTCTTCCTTTCAAGGTGGCTGCACTTTGCAATCTTCGCTCATGCTGACTCCCTTCTCCAGCTGAGGCAGAGGATCCAAATGCCATTTCGCCATAAGCATGCAGTACCCTGCCCAAGTGTCTGTGATCTTGATCAAGAAGGGCTTCTTGAAGTCGCGAAAGGTGTTCGTGATGCTTTTCGGACATTGGGTCACCTGAAAAACGACGTGAGTAATGCTCCCTTTCAGTTTGGCGATGTTGATGCCTGTAGCTCAGCTTTCGACGAGGTCTCTGGAAAGGCGCCCCACCAGAGTTGGGAGTTTCACTTCGTGCATCAACTGTGACAACTACAGAGTCCACATCCAATTCAGCAGCGCCATCCTGGTCCTGGCCTTCAAGCAGCAAACGACGACGGCCGCGTATGTTAGAAGGAGCTTCCAGGTGCCAACTTCCATCATTAGCATGCCCATCTTCGATTGCTTCGACTTCTGCACCCAACTCCATTAGCCTGAGAAGCTCCGGCATCTGATCAAGAAAGGCATCCAAATGAGGTCCAGCCTCGGCCATGAGATCGTTGAAACGAGGCGATATATCAGATTGGGGCAATTGAAGTCCTGACATCAATGCCCGGAGCTGCTCGAGAATTGCCATGTTTCCTTCCACAGTCGCAATGCTGTCCCGGACGCTTCCAGGCGGACCTTCACCGGGCTTAATTGCAGCAGCAGCTGCCTGAGCGCGAATCTCCATGACATGGTCCATAATGGCACCAGCACTTGTTTCAATGATGTCGCCATTGTTGGCACGAAGAATGGGGGCAGCTTGGCTCAAGGTCACATCTTGATCAACTGGCCCTTCAATGCCAACGATGCCTCCTTCCTCCTTCCAAACTTGGACGAGGCTGGGTGGAGTGGGGGCGGGTCCTTCGTGCTGATTCTGTGGGGCATCGCTAGCAGTGCCCACAGCCGACAGTTTAGAGACCTACGAATCACAAGGAAGCATGCGAAAGTTTCAGTGTATGGACAAGCAAGCGAAAGTTTGAGCGAAAGCTTGAGTTTGTGGGACTTCCTTGCTGTCTCGGGAGAATTGGTACGCTGCGCGCAACACGAGGCCGATCCTGACCGTTGACAACAATCGATCTCATCCAACGCAATGGCATCGGTACTTACCGCCACAGAGGTAAGAAGGAGAAGTGTAAACGCAGCCAAACCCCTGGAAAAAAGGTTCCAAGCGCTCGACGTCGCCATGGTGCTCGACGTCGCCATGTTTGCTCCTCTATGATAGCTTGCTAGTTCTTCGAGATTGCTGTCCAAAACTTGCGGGTGTTATTCGCTTTTGGATTGTTCGATTGCAAACTTTGTGAGGCTACCTCAGAGGAACAGATGGATCCAGAGTTGCGGTGCAAAAGATCGCAACAAAGTACAGTAAGTCAAACCGAAAGATCGCAAATGACTGAAGCAAAAACGAAAAGGCCCAAGCTGCCAGTTCAGTTCAATGACTGATGTCACTCACGCGATGGCTCCATTCGGGGGTGCATCTCAAAGCAGCTTTGTGTTTCGTTGGATATCCCCAACCACCAAATGCCAAAAGAAGAAGAAATGGTGATTGAAGGTGGTACTGGTATCAGGTTGTCGAAAATGATCCACGTTAACGTGATTGAAGATTGTAAACAAAATTGAATATTGTAATCTATCAAATGGTGCAAAATGGTAGAACAAGTGGAGATAATGGCTTGAAAAAGGTAAAAACGGAGAGAAGAAGGACCCTACTATCATTGAGTTCAGGAAGGTGGGACAAGCCAACGCCTGTGAGAAGCTGATTTTGAGACCCCCCGCTAAACTAACCATCCACCATACTGTACAACGCTCTATTAAGGTTAATAGTAGCTAGCAAAACTGTAGGGCCTCTTCCTCTACTCCTGTGAAACCTGAATTCCAGTTGGGAAACCATTAGAGTTGCGGGGAATGAGCTTTTGGAGCCATTCCTTGGGTGCAAGGAGGTGCTAGCTAGTAGATCTTCCACTTTGAGCCATGCTACTGAATTTGCAGTACATGTAATCTGCCAGATTCCAACTTTCTTCCAGATTAGGTCAACCTTGTACTCATTTCTATTTGGTTTTACCTCCACCTAGCTAGATTAATCATTCTTCCAATTTCCTTCCATCTAGATATCTTCCTATTTCAGTCTTCTTGCTTCCAAAGAATTATTAATTGAACATGACAAACCCACGAAAACAGGTATTCCCGCAACTCCTGCTCGCAAATCCCACAGGCCCTCCTCAGGCCCATCCAGTTTGTTGGAACGTCTTATGTCCTTGCAAAGGGCCCAACACGTTATTCACTCGGCAAGTTTTTAGGCTAGTAGATACCAGTAGTACGCAGCTAGCTTGCTAGCTACAATGTAGTTTGCAGAACCAGTTGACCGCTGATTGCTGGCTCGTGGAGCGGTACAGCACGCCGTGCCCGCAAAGTGATTTAGTTGAAGGGGCTCCAGACTTGTACCGTACCGGTACAGTACGCCAGTTCTTCTTGCACGGTTTGGTTTTAGGTTTTAGGCAGGTCCCAGGAAGAAATACTGGAGAAACTGGCTTGGCGTGCATGGATTTGGCTGCGACCACCTTCCTGTCTCCATCCCACGAGCATGGGAGGCCCATGACTTCTGGATCAAGACGAGGCAGATGAAGGGAGACGATAAAGTGTGACCCGAGAAGAGGAGGAACCGAAGAAAAAGGCAAAGTCTGAGCATCCCGACATAAACGGCAATGGCGCAAGGAACGGGAGAATGAATTGCAGCAGAAATACCAAGAACTGCAGAAAGAAAACATGAGCGGTTGAGCATTGGCTGGAAACCATGCTGAATCATGGCACGAAGGGGTTGCAATCCTGATTTCATTGCCTCGCCTTTGAACACGATCCTCTTGGGGAATTCCTTCATGTCTAGCTAGCCTGATTAAATTCCATATTTTCTCTTGGGAGCAAAGGTCTTTGTACCTTGACATCCTAACTTGATGCAAGCTGAAGACTGAGCGACCTTCCCGATGTGTGGTTTGGGCAAGGCTCAAATGACTCGGATGGCTCTATTCCTGGCAAAGGATTCATAGCTATGCCCCAGGAGAATCCCCTGTTTCCCCCGCCTAGCTAGATGATGGCCGTCCTTGGATGCGAGCTTGAAAAGCGATCTCGTAATCGTCCTCTGCAAGAATCCACAGACTTCAGACAGCGTTTGTTTCCAAGCGCGGCTAACGCCTCGGAGACATTCCTTACTGTCTTCATGAGACCCAATCTAGCTGCACTGGCAGGAGAAGTACGAAGGAAAATTAACGATTAGTTTTCATTACGAAACCTTCGGACATCAACTGTTGACCACGGGGTGACTGAAGCGTTGCTGATGGCGTTCCCAGGAGACCAGACGGGTTCCGAGTCGATTCCTGGATTGAATCATTTCGGCCAGGACAGCTGCTCACGGACACAACGGGCCGACCAGTGCTGCCTTAGTACTCCAACTGGACTCCAGGCTTGGCTCCACCGTTGACGCTGTTGTTGCACGTCTTGTTGTTGTACCCACGAACCTTGACCTGATGCGCCGCCCGAAGCTGAGCCTTGCTCGTCTTGGCAATCTTGCAAAAGTTGGCATGGCCCGAGGCATCGCATTCCCGACAAGGCTGGGTGCTGAACGAAACATCACCGTTGCGGAGCACCTCAAAGCTCATGCGAAACACCGACTGACGAGGCCACAATTTCTCGAGCGCTTCCAATTCGTCGTGTGCCAAGATTTCGACACAGCAGTAATTCTCGCGATCCAACTGTTCTCCCAGCGATGCCCGACGACCATGCTCTTGTTCCATCATGGCGGCTGCTTCTCGTTGCTGGTCGCGCTGTCGTTCCAACGTCATCATGGCTCGTTGCTGTAGGGCCAGTTCAGCCGGTGACAAACCCAATTCCGCCGCGGGCAAATCGTCTGCTGTCGCAACCAGAGGACTCATGCCAACCACCAACGATCGACGGGGCGACGATGATTCGTCCATCAGTAGTTGCTGCTGCTGCTGCTCGTCTTCGAGCTGCTGCTTCTTGCTGACCCAAAGCTGTGGAGACTCGCCGTACAGGTAGGCATCGAGATGAGGAGGCAACAAGGCGAGACGATGGGCATCGCACAAGAGGGCCGAACCATCGGGTGGCAACAGGGGACCTCCTTCCCCGGTTTTCATGTACTTGCGCCATGCATGACACCACGCCCGAGGGACGGCATAGTACAATCCCGGGACCAAGGGACAACCACCCACAGCCGATGGCTTTTTGTTGTTGTCGCTGCTGCTGCTATCCAACATGGACTTTGTCGGAGTCGCCGGCATTTTGCGGTCTTCCTCTTCGACCACAACTTTTCGTTCTTTTCGTCCTCCTTCTTCTTCTGGTTTTCTCAAACAATGCACGGGAAGCCCTCGCGTCCGCGTGTAGAATCGTCGCAATACAGGCTGACTCAACGGCGCCTTGCGTTCTTCCTTGCGCTTTTCTTCTTCTTGGGCATGCGTCTTTTTCTCCGTTTCGGCTTCGAGGATGCACTGCAAACATTCTCCCTCTTTGGCTTCCAACGGGATGCTTTCGGGATAGAGTTTCTTCAGGCATTTCCATGCCTGCTTGTCGAGAATCTTGCGTCGCGCCCGTGCCGATTTGCGATTGGAACATCGTTGCAGTTGTTGATGGCAGCAGACAATGTCACTATTGACATTGGGCCATGGGGGACTGGCATCGGAATATTTGCGGGAACGCAAACGTTGCTGTTTTTTGGACAACTTTTTACTCTTTTTGGTATTGCCGACTGCGATGAGTTGCTGCTGCTGTTCTTGTTGTTGTTGTTGTTGTTGCCGTTCTTGCTGCCATTCGAGCCACTTCAAGGCCGTTTTGCACCAGGACTTGCTGACAAAGTAGCCACCCACGGCACTGTCGTCTTCCGAGAATGGTTCGGGACGAGACAAGACACGGACGACCACTAGCAATTCCATGTTGCGCAAATGTTCCAACGTAAACTGCTTCATGGTAGTGGCGGTGGGGGATACTGGGACAGCCTTTTTCTTGGCAGCTTTCTTGTTCTTGCCATTGCTGTTGTTGTTGCTACTGGCAGTAGCAGCATCCGACATGACGGGTTGATCTTCGAATCCCTTGGAGAGTTCGGGTGGGTAGACACCTCCTTCGGCGGCATGCGTGACAATGGCATGGATCAAGGAGGGATTATGGTAGAATCGACAGGTCTGCGGAATGGCCGTCAACTCATAGGCCCTCAGATACGTCAAGATATTGACCTGAAGCTCCATGGGAAACTCGGTAATGTGCGATATGGGTCGGACAGTGCCGCCCAGAGTGACTTCCACAGCCGTACATGTTGGCTTGAGATTCGTCAGGAATGATGGCAACGTGTCATCTTCCAGCGTTGTTTCTTCCAGGAGTTTGGGTAGATTATTATCGTTCATGGTTGTTTTTGTTTATGAGGTGTATGTTTTTTATGGAAGAGTCTAGAGTAGCCAAAGTCGGAGTATACGGTAGGTAGCTTGTTGTAGGTTGTAGGGTAGCAAATGTATGTATGTGCAGAGGTGGCCAAGATAATAACAATCGTCGTGATTGTTGTATAGCTTGGTTTGGGTATCTTGATTGGTTGATGTAGTGGTGTTGTATAGTAGAGGGGTATCAGGTACGGCACAGATTAGTGTACTCGAGACGTGTGCAATGGGAGGTTGACTCTATTGTTCTATTCTATCAAAGATTGCCGGTTAAAGGTGCGTCAGGGTGAAGACGGAACTGTCAGGGCCGAATGTGGAGACTTGATCAATGCAACAACGACAACGACAAAAGATGTTATGATAGCAGCACAAGAAGGTCTTGCTATCGGTGCGTAGTAGTCTATTTGCTCCGAACGTATTGGCAAGGATGTGACCTGCCAACAACAACAACACTGACTGATATCTTTCCTCTATGGAAAAAGTGAGCGAGCATTTCGACTTCAGAACAAACTCGCTCAGGATTGCCAACGTCACATTCCGGAATGGAACCCGAAATTCTGCGTAGAAATGGTACGGATTCCTACGAAGGCAAGAATTGGTGTCATCACAACTGCAGAGACCCAAAGATTCTTTGAAGCAGAACAACTGAAAGATTCGTGGGATCCCCAAACCAGGCAGTTGTATCAGGTTGTTAGCAATTTAGCCGAGGTCTGTGTTGTTCAGGTGTTTGCCATCCAATTCAACTGCCAGAGTGGTTTGGAGAAAATTGGTAAACGAATCTAGCTAGCTAGCTAGCTAGCATTAGTAATCTTGAGTCTCGAGGCTTCAGCAGTTTGTGGTGACGCCCCACGACGACCTACTCGTAAAGATGAGTGCTGTCTTCGCTTTTACTGTATGTGTCCCGTGGCTCCTCATATACCTGTAGCAAAGAACAGCCATTCCAGCGATCGAGTCGATTGCTTCTTGGTCCAATCTACGTACCAGAGCAACTGGCCATGCATAGAACACAAATATGGCAGAAGCCTCTTCTTGGCCGCACTCTGGTTTCCTTCCAGCTGAGGGCGACGTATCCTGTTATGCATACCTTCTAGCTAGAGCAGGTTGCAGAACGTAATGCCTGCCTTCCAGCTATCCTTTTTAGCTCCTGATTAGGAGACCAACATTCCGTCTCCGCATAGATTCACATGGTACCGGTAGCTAGTTTCTAGCCGCTTTGCTAGCTGATTGGCTCCAAGAAAGATACTGCTTGGCATCAATCGCACTTGAACATGACACCAAAAGATACGCACGTTTCTTGCTGCAATTACCGATGCCCGTGGCTGCCATCAATTACCTTTTGAAACTTTGACAAAAGAGACCATCACCGTCACCACCATGAAGACCACATCCATCGGAGCCAGCATCTTGCTCATCAGTAGCTGTTTGCTTTCCGCCGAAGGATTTGCACCAAAACCATTGGCCAGTCAACCACAGCAAAACAATCAACATGTGATGCTTCCATCTCCACGACAACACAGCAGTGCTACAGCCTTGTCCATGTCAAAAGAGGAAACTACATGGGATCGCATTACAGGCCCGAAACTCTTCAAGACGGTCACCAACTGGTCGGGTATTCATTCCGTGCCACTGGTACCGTTGCGAATTTTGACGGGTCTTCTCATGATCCACCATGGATCCGAAGGTGGCTTGGGTCCGGCCAATTTTGGAACTCCCGAATTTCAAGGCTTTATCGACTACATTGTGGTACCCTACTTTGGATTCCTGCCAGGACCTCCCGAAATCTGGTCCGCCATTCACGATTATATTGAATTCTTTGGTGGCATTTGTTTGGCGGCTGGATTCTTGACCCGACCGGCATCCCTCGCCCTTTTGTCCACCATGATGGGAGCCGTATACTTTCATTTGTCGTCCGTGGGAGCACAGGGATTCCCTCTGGGGCATGTTAGCAATTACAGTTATGACTTTGAAGAACCGACTCTGTACGCTTTGATCTTTTTGATGTTTTGGTTCAATGGGGCTGGACCCCTCTCGGTGGATTCCATCATTTACCAAAACATTTCGCAGGAGGAAGACGAAGAGTAGAAAATGAAATGCTCCTTTTCTCATCGTGACATTGACGCAGCTAGCTAGATAGAGATCCTCGCTCACTCGCTAGTTAAAACATAGAGCTTGGACTTGGATTTTCTCTAGCTAAATACCGGTAGATGGAATCGTCAGGTCCCCAAAACGACCATGGGATATGGAATGCTACCTACATTCTGATGTTTTCGCTGCCTGCCCGGGATCTCCCTGCTACGTGCCCTATCTAACGTTGCATTCATCAGCCCGACCAGCTGACCAGAGGAAGCAAGCAATCTGTCGCTGACGGGCTCGCTCCATTGTTGGAATCAATCAATCTTCGTCTGCGTCTGATTTGGTGGCACTTTTTGGGCAGCCTTGTCTAATGTTGCGTTGAAGCAAGCAACTGCTGTGGGGATAATTGCCTGCAAGGAGGGCGGATGGAACCTACCAAAAGAATCTGCAGATTGGAAAGGATTGGCTGCAATTGCGGTAAAACGTCCTCCCGTAAAGCTGTCTGGGGTACTTCTGGTGACATAGCATTGGTAAGATGCCGCAATCATCATCAGAACATGGAAACAGAAAATCATCCAAGGCGGTAACAATCTTGCGCGCTTTGGCATTGAGCGTCTGCAAGTTGGTCTTGGCTCTGCGCTTGTTGGCCTTGCTGAGTGAGTTTCTGCTGTTGCGTGTGGGAGCCACAAAGGCAACAAGTTTTCAAAGCGCAAAGCTCCAGAGTCCTCTGCTCCAGATTAATAATGCTGCTCTTTAGTTGAGTACTTCCCAGAGGAGTGCTGTGAAAAACTAGGTGTATCGGAAGTATTGCTAAAAAGCAACCGACAGGCAACATGTTGGTGGCCAAAATCTTGGTATTACAAGTGGGCGTTTCGCTTAGTAATTCGACATTCGATCTATCCAGCAAAGCACTTGCATCTTGGTCCACAGCTGCAGTTCAATGGAAAGGGTTCTGGGACACAATCTCTGATTAGATCCGTCAAGTTTGCGATCTCACAGATTGGAGCCGGAATGGATCCTTCAAATTGATTGTTGTACAACAACATTGTTGTCAAAGCAGTAAGTAATCCAAGCTCTGCAGGGAGAGTACCACTCAATCGATTGCTACGAAAAACGAAACTGGTCAAAGCTGTCAGTAATCCTAACTCCGATGGAATAGGTCCTGTCAACTGGTTCGTAGCAAGCCATATGCCCTCCAAAGCAAATAGTGATCCGAGCTGGGTTGGAATTGTTCCAGCAATTTGATTGCCACCAAAAGCAAGTCTTGTCAAGGCGGTCAATAAACCAAGTGTTGTGGGGATGGTCCCAACTAAATCATTACCATCCAGCCTCAAAAAGATCAAATTTGACAAGCGTCCAAGCTCGTTCGGTATCGTCCCATTCAGATTGTTGCCGTCAAGCCTCAGCTTTGTTAAAGCGGTCAACACTCCAAGTTCTGTGGGCATCGTTCCTTTCAATTGCTTATCCCACAAATCAATCTCTGTTGTGTTGGAAACATTGTACTGATTGCCAAACCATTCCACTGAAGTAATAGGAACAGGACTTTGAGTTGGCTGTGGGTTTGTTGGACTGTTTGTAGGGAAGGGATATGAAGTATCTGTTGGTTGTAGGGCCGAGGAGCCGATTGTAGGGCTAGGAACCTCTGGAATTTTTGAGTCGCCTTGTGAGGTAACTACCAGGGCAACGATTACAACGACGGCAGTAGCAAGAAACAGAAGCGTTCCCAAGCAGACTTTTCTCCCACGATTGGATTCCGGAATACATATCAGCTTTGTTTTTGGCTGCAGTCCCTCGAGATCCACAATTTCAGCCTGTGGTATGTCTGCTGGCTCAGTTTCAAGCCTCAGGTTGGACTCGGACACCAATGTGGCCTGCACCATGTAGTCCTCTTGGATGTTCTCACTTGGTGGGTGGTCTTCTGCTTCTGGCTCCACCGAAATCTCCGGATCGCTTCTTCTTGGAGCGCTATCCGGCCCTGGGCCGTCCACCTGGACGCTGATAAAATTAAAGCCTCGTTTGGGAGGTGCGACCGGAGCTTGAGATTCTTCGTTGCAGTTATTGGCTGTGTTTGCGGGCCTGCGAAGACCATACTTTCCTTCAGACGTTCTCTGCGTGGCGCTTGCTCCAACGTGTGTCGCTGTCCCTCCCTTGTTCTTGTTGCGTGCCAGACCTCGCATTTTCTTTCCGGCTGCAGTGCCACCTGTCATAGAGCCACCAATTTGCGACACAGCACCACCAGGCCCGGCGACAGTGCCAAGCTCCTTGCTTTCAATCTCTTTCTTAGGACTCGTGTTCGTGCTCATGCTCATGCTTTCCAATCTCTTTTTGACTTGCAGGGCATGTATTGCACGGCTGTTGTTGTTTGGCTGGGAGAATGGGTGTGGACGCGGAAGCAAAGAACAGACGAAAATAATTGCAAATTGGTTTGCAAAGATACAGTGACGTTGAGTCGTGAGACTTTTATCTTGGCCTGTCGTGCGTTGGGCTATTAATAACGTTGACGCGTTAAAGTGTGTAACTATTAATAGTCTTTTAATAAAAAAAATCATCCATATTCAGCCCTGAAGGTTGGTTATTACATGGGTAGACATTGCCGGATACCGGTACGTCGTGTTGCTTGCATGATCGAGCAATGTGTACCTCTAAGGCTTTTATCGGGCCCTTAAATCCAGTACAAAAATTCCGGCAGCTTGCCACCCAATCCCCATCCTCTACTAAAGAAGACATTATGCATGGCTGAAGTACAGCTTGGTGTAGAGGAGCCAATCGCAGGGCGTCTCGGACACGGGCCAGAGCCCTGTACAAGTCCTATCGAATTTGCATCACAGAAGGCAAAAAAGATGATCTTACCAAAGGAGTTGTTCAGAATATTTGGCATTTCCCAGGATCATCTTGAGGACGATCTGAAGCAGGTTGCGGGGCAAATTGTTGCAATATTCAACGAGCAAAATGTTGCTGTTGACCATGCAGGTGGGGCATCATCACCTGCCAAGAGACCTTCCTTGGGTCAAGACGAAGAAGGCCATGAAGGAATGTGAGCATCAGGAACTTCACCTCCCCTTGGACAAAAAACAAGTTACTAGTACAATACTGGAAGGCAATAAAAGAAAAGGTACAGTAGGTACGGTACCGGTACCGTACGGTACCTTTGCCATGGTACAGTCGTACCGGTACCGGTACAGCCATACTAGTAGTACGTACGCGTTCAGCGGTTCGGTACCGTACTAGTACTGGAAGGCACACGGTAATGAAGTCGTGTTTTCTTGAAAGTCGCGAAAATCGATAAAAGTCGCGTTCTTTCGCGACTTTGTAGTCGTTAGCTACTTCACCACGACTCCACCGCGACTTTACCGCGACTATTACCACGACTTTTGCGAATACCGCGACTTCTGCGCGACTTTACTAAGCAAAACCCTGTATTTTACAACGACTTTACCACGACTCTTAGCGCGACTTTAAATTCGTTCACGACTTTACCGTGACTTTACAGCGATTTTATCGCGACTTTAAAAGCGACTTTCGCGACTTTAAAGCGACTTTATAACGACTTTTGCTTATAACGCGACTAACCGTCGCCAACCGGGCGCCTTCCTGGTACCGGTACCAGGTACCCCTTTTATCGTCACTTCGTTAGTTTCTTGGCACTTTTCAATTTCCAAACGGTTTCGATTGCTTCATTCGTGGTCGAGCAATCTCGTGCCCAACGTCCCCTTCGTTGTCCATCTTTCCAGCAAAAACGTTTCACTGTCTCTGCTTCGTCTTCTTCTTCTCTTGCCACAAGCATCACCTCGTCTACATTGTACCGGTACCACACGACGTACTAGTAATCACACGATAGACAATTGACAATGCCCGGTAATCGACGTAGGAAGCGAACCAAGAAAGCCCCAGAGTTCTTCGCCTCCTCTGATAACGATGCGGATGAACGTCAAGCGACAACGGCCAAATCGAAAACGAAGAAAGCACCCACTACATTCAATGTTGACCTACATTCGGAAGAAGAAATGCCGTCTCCTCGGCCCAAATCGGGCGAATTGCATGGTTCGAAAAAGACAGAGCGGACACGCACCTTCGATTTGTGTAGTCTGAGCAGCGATGACGACTTCGACATTAGCCGCGAGAACCGTCGCAAGCGCATCAAGAAGGCTTCAAACGATACAAAGACGTCTCTTGCGGACAGCTCGACTGCGAAAGCTCGAAGAGCTGGAAGAGCTGGTCTGAAACAAGATCCCGCTTCCCGTAAAGAGACTTCGGGAGTACTTGTGCGTGTTCCTCTCAAGTCCAACAAAGCATCCACTACATGCACTACCCAAAAAAAGAAGAGGACCATCAAACCAACACAGGCAAAGCCAGCGCCACTTAAACATGCTCCGAATCAAGATCAGGTACACGACGACAAGTCCTCAGCTACACGCAAGTCCAACAAAGAAACCGGTAGTACAAAAGAGGTATCCGAATCGAAAGTTTCGGCGTGCAATCCTACCAAGTCGAACAACAACTCCAGCAAAGAGACTTCGAAAGTGTCGGATCCGATAGTCAAAGCGGCACCTGCACCAGCAACGGTTGTCAAACCCAAGCCAACGCCCATGTCTGCAGCGTTCGCAGCAGTCACTACAGCTCCACATGTCGACTACGATTCTGATCAAGAACCTCCGAAAGAAGACACTCAAGTACGTTTCCAGTGGCGTGGTGATCCATCGGTGACGTTGAGCGACTGGACTATTGAGATTGTTGCAAGTGAAACTGGCCAATTGGACACCTACAACATCCACAAGCTTGTATTGTCGTCTGGGCCCCGTAAATCGGATTACTTTCTCAACCTGTTTTGCCGCGGCAGCGTATTCCGTGAATCCGAGTCAAAGACCAGCCGTATCGAACTACCCGAGCTAGCCACGAAAGCCTTCCCTCAGCTCCTTGACTTTGTCTACGAGATTGGCGATCACAACGGTGCCTTGAAGATCGATACGGAAACCGCAGCCGCCTTGCATTTCCTTGGGCACTACTTTCAGATGCGCCAGTTACGTTGGGAAGCCAAAACGTTCTGGAAAAAGAATTTGAAGCTGGAGAATGCAACTACGTACTACGAACATGCCAAGCTATTCTTTGATGACAAGATCTCTGAAGCAGTTGCTGATCTGTTTGCCCGTAACATCATGGATGTCAAACCTGATTCCAAGATAACGAAGATTGCTGATGCAACGTTGTGGGTCCGCATTGTGGAGAAGCTTGCAGACAAGACAGATGCCGCCGCAAAGACTGATGCTCCGGGTTCTACAACTGCCACTGCGGCTTCTGCCGCTGCGGCCTCTACAACTACGGGCTCTACAAGCGATACGACTGCGGCTTCGAAGGCAAATGATGTTGCTTCCAAACCATCGGCCAATCCCAATTCGAAGCCAATGCCAGCAATGGGCGACAAGGTTCAGATTCACCTGAGCGAACTCATCGCCCAGTTTGCAACGGACAACCAAGATGATCTCGACGCTGCAACCTTCCAAAGCTTGACAGCCCCGGAATCGCTCCGTAGTATCAGCAGCAAGGCTGCTCTGAGCTTGCTGAAAGTCGAAGACGCGGTCGTCACGAATACCGAAGGCTCGACCGCCTTGCAAGACCGCTGCGTTGCTGCCATGGCTGCCAACTGGAAGGATGTTGGTGCGTCCCTCACGTCGGATCAGGGACTCGCGACACTGAAGCCCCCCGTTCTAGCGAAAGTCGTGGCCAAGTCCCTCGAGTATGCTACGACCGATTTTTTGAAGGCCGAGAAGGACATTGAAGACATGGAAAGTTCCCATGAAACTGTCACGAAACAGCTCCAACATGATCTCGAACAGAAGACCAACCAATTGAAAGATTATCGTGGAATGTGGTCTCATGCGCTCGATCGTTGCGATAAATTTGAGAGCCAACGCGATGATGCGGACTACAAAGTCATGAGAATGCTGACAGAGCTTGATGCCACAGTACCTGACTTGGAAAAGATTCGTACCCTTGCCACGGATACGAAGAAAGCGCCATATGGTTACGACTACATGTAAATGAAAGAGAAGTTCTGGGGCCCGAAAGGACAACCAACGAAGAAATACAGCCAACGAAGCAATGACACGATTATTATTCTCAAGGATGAATTCAGACTCAGAAACAAACCTTAGAATTAAGCATTTTAATCGAAAGGAACTAAGTGCTAGCTAGATAAAAACCAGATAATCAGAAATTGGAAGGATGAATGCATGCAGTTAATTTTACATGGCAGTTGGGAGATGGCTGTTACGGAGGCAACTGCTGCTAGTTGATCAGTGGCGTAGATGGTGTCTGAATTGGCTGGCTACTGCTAGACCTAGCTAGCTATCGTGGAAGAAAAAACATAGCTAAAAGAGGATTGATCCTGAGCTTCGCACTTTTCTCATGTTGTTGTTGACAAGCCTGGCACCACTGGACGTTCGCGGCATTCCCGCTGCATGCCCCAGCAGCAGTTTTCCAGAACTTGACGTCTTGGTAAACGTAGCAGTACCAGCAGCAGAAGAAGACGCTGCCCCCTTCATTAAGCCCGCCAAAATTTGCTGGGCATCCAGGTTGGCCGACTTTCCAACTCCCTTAAAGGTAGCATTCTTACTTTGACCTAGACCGGCAGCAGTGTCTTTTTGTCGACGACGTCTTGCTGCCTTTTGGAGTGATCCGGGAGATGTTGGGAACAAGGAATTGAGTTTACTCATGGCGGCCGAGGGTTCCTTCTTTGTGGAAGTAGTATTGCTATTGGCCGTGCTACTAGTCAGCGACCTGCCACTGTCGCTCATTCCCTTTTCCTTCATTTTGGCAAAGGCCGTCTGAAAGGCCAGCATGGCAGGAGCACTGTGACGACGATGTTGGACGCCCAATGTCAATATTGGACAAGGCTTGGTTTTAGTGGCAGAGGGTAGCGCCGTCAAGGAGGCATGATGGACGTTCTTGACACAAGAATCGTGTTCGGCGGTAGGAATCACATTTCTCGGGATGCGAGGAGGCGCGGGAGGGAGCGGCGCTTCTTCTCCCAACACGGATTTGCTGGTAGCAAACGTTGGCGTGGTGGCCATGGCGTCGATCAGAGAGAGGGCCATCGTGGAGGTTATTAATATAAATAGATAATGGAAGTTTTAGTTTTGTGTCAATGATGGTCGATAACAGAATAATGGAATACCGAGAGGATGAACTGGGCAGGGCTATTGAGAAGAAAGAGGACTGTTGGAGTGCTAATTGCTGCTGACTCTGCTGACTGCTGGTACACTGCTGGTACCGTTCAGTTCTCTGGGATTGACCTCTGCGAATGAAATGACCATTCAGTAAATAAGAATAGATACCCGAGAAATAGACGCCGCTCGGTGGTCAAACAACCAGTTCGGATGCGATCGTCTTTCGTACTGCGGAGGGCTACGAAACCAGTCGTAGCCTTGACACTTGACACTTTACCTCTTGAAAATCCTGTAGAGCTGGAATGTTGGTGGTTTGTTATGACTTCACCAAGCAGGCAGGCTTTCCACACCCACCACAACTCCGAATGGGCCGGAAATCTTGATTTACAAGTAATTTGGCTTCATACTTGGGTTTCGATTTTATATTTAGGTTTCGATTTTATATTTGGGTTTCGGCTTGATTTTACTATTTGTAATTTGGTTTCGGTTTTATATTTAGGTTTCAGTTTTATACTTAGGTTTTGATTTTATATTTTGGTTTGGAATTGATCAATTTAATTGGCTTCTTAAAATCCTGATTTTGGGCCCTTTCTCCCACCACCCTTGTGTTGACTTTTGGTACTGGTACCAGGTATTGGAAGAACAAGATGGTGCCTGGTAGCATGTAGCATGGTAGCAGATGGTACACTACGGTAGGAGAATCTCTGATGAGCTGGTTGATGGACTGTACTCTGAGATCCGAGTAGAAACAGAGAAAGGTGGCACAATGGCACAATGTAGGTCTAGTTTCAGTTGGCATCCTTTCTTCCCAAAAGCAACGGAGTCAAGGAACTGGACCGAAGCCTTCATGATAATAATCTAGTAAGAGTACCATTCTTCCTCCCTTCCAAGTAACAAGGCCAAGCAAGGTGCCTAAATAGAGAGTACTGGTACCGGTGGCGCCCTTACTTAATGCAGCCTTCTATCTCTGCGTTGGTGCGTTTTTCAATGGATTTGGTTGGCACCAAGGAGGCCCTTTCGGGCACTTTGGCACCCAGTAGTCGTTAGTCTGCACCGTACTAGCTAGTACCCGTGCCAGTACTACATGGCACCATGCGGTTGAGCTGGCAACAGGGAACAGAACGAACCGGGCGACCCTTTGACCATCCTGCAGAGCTGACAGAAGAATCACCGTTTCTAAAAGTTTGAAAGTGATCCTCTGACTTCCGGATGTGTGTCCTTGCTTCGGTTGGATTGGAAAGAATGCCTCTCAGAACTGCACTATTGAAGCCATTGACAATTGGCTCCTCTGCTACAACTAAAATGTAGGAGTAGCTAATGGCTAGCTAGCTAGATGAATAGAAAAACATTCTAACATTCTCGCTTTCTTGCATTCCTTCTTGGACACTCAAGCTCAACCAGCAAGAAGGAGGACGTGGTCGTTGCTATCCTGCCGGTACTTCTCAAACGGGAGAGCGATGCTTCATGCAATATGGTACATGTACAGTAGTAGGATGTAGGATACCCCGTACCGTGCGTGGCACGGTTGAAGAAACACTCCAACACTCCAACCACTGTAGTTCTCCGATAGTCTAAGTCTACTAGTCTAGTACCGGTATCCTCTAGACGACGGTACCATCAACCTCAGAAAAGATGAAACACAAATCCACGGGTCGGTCTACAGAACGGCAGAGCTGCGAAACGCCCACCTTCCCAGACAGGGAATGAAGAGATTCTACAGAACGGAGAGTATGAGTTAACAGGGAGCCGACCATAAGGGAGACTGACGGACAGGAATCCGGGAGAGCCACTCATCCAAGGATGAGGTGGTGACCGAAGTGTCGGGTGCACAGGTGGTGTGCCTATGTGGTGTTGATGACTAGCTAGAAGGACTACTAATCGGGCGGCTACAAATCAGTTCAGGTTCACTTTTTCTGAACCAGAGTTGCAGCCGCCCGACACCAATTTTCCTTTTTTGACTGGGGGTAATTAGTGTGAGCGTCCGCAACCTGAAAAAGTATTCTGCTGCCCGACAGTGACCGCCTCCCTCGCCAAACCTTACTCTGAAGAAAAGTAAGCATGGACTTAGAGTTTGATGACGCACAGCGGCGGGTCACACAGTGTGACTTCCTTAGGGTCCGGGTCGGAGATGGCGGCGTTTTGCACACCGGCCGAGTGGTGTGCAAGGAGATGTTTTGTCGAGCCCGATTCGTCATGAAAGGACCGTCTATGTTTGTTTCAGTGACCGTGGTATCGAGTGTAACCGAGCCGGTCACCGAGGAGCTACTCGGTCCAACCAGGTGGGGTACTCCTTTGAAGGGTGCTTAGACGCAATGACAAATACTTTGACGGAATCGCTAGTACCGCCTTGTCCCCCCACGAAACGGCCGCTCTTCAAGCCAAAGAACGAGCTGAGGACGAAGCCGCGCTCCATGAAGGACCCGCCGAACGCTCTCCCGGGATCACGGTGGAAACCGTGAACATGGGATCGCCTGACGCCAAACGAGCTTTTTCGAGTGGAAGCACCCAGGGACGTGGAGGGTCGATCTCCTTCGAAGGCGAAGAAGCCCCCGGCCTCGCCGGGACCTTCTCGAGCGATACCGGCGGATCTTTCAGCACCCCCATCCCGGGTCATCAGAAGATCGCTGCCCGCAAGAAAACACCCGAAGGCTCGCTGAACGAGGCAGAGAGAGCCCGAAAGATCTCGGAGCTGGCCGCCCAGGAACGAGCTAAGGAGGAAGTCGCCCAAGAAGAAAAGCGGCTCGCGGCAGCAAACTATGAGCAAGAACGAGCCACTGAGATGGCGTCCAGAAGCTCCTACGTGAAAACGAGGACAGCCGGAGCACAACGAGCGAAGGCCGCTGAGGCCGCCAAATACAAGCAGGAAGCAGAGGTTCAGCGACGCGTTGAACAAGCCCTGGCCGCCAAGGCTCGCCAGGAAGGACTCCGAGATAGCACCCGGGGACAGGCGACGGTACGGCTCCGCCGACACCCAGCTTCTCCCCTGGAGTACCATCCAGTCCAACCAGCCGCTTTTGGTACGGGTATGTGAACGGGTCAATGGAGCATACGGAGAGGTCAACGAACAGCGCAAGATGAAGCCA